TAGACATGTCGTAGTAAATGCCAGTGGTCTGTAAACCCTCATCCAGGTCTCGGTGTATTTTATTTAATATTCCAAAGAGGGCTGTTGTTGTGTTTTTGCCTTTACAGAAGCCATATTGGGTTAGTAAACAAAGTAATTTTTTTTCTATAAAATATGCTTCTAGTTGGATTTTCATGGCTTTGTCAAAAATTTTGGCAAACACAGATAGATTGGATATTGGTCTATAATTTGACAAGTTTGATGTATCACCCTTTTTAAAAATGGGAATGGTACGCGCTACCTTGAGAGCTCTTGGGTATGTTCCCTCTAAAAAGGACATGCCAACCATATCTGTCAAAGGAGGCGCAATCAAATTTACGATTGACTTTAAAAGACTGCATGGGACCTCATCTGGACCATGGCTTTTTTTCTGCGTTACAGATATTATTTATTATATTTATCATTTCGGGGATACTAATGGGGCTTAATTGAAAAGAAAAGGGGACCTTTTCCAGTATATGATGTGAGTTTTTATATGATGCTAGGGTTTGACTGTGAGAGGCTACGGAATCTATGAAAAAATCATTGAAGAGTGAACAAATTTTTGTGGGGTCAACCGTTTCCTGACTATCTTTGGGGTCTTTAATTTGTAGATTTTGAATTGAAGAAGCAGATGAAGTAGAAGAACGATTTGTACTCTCGTTTATGACCTCCCAGCATGCCTTTCCAAAGTTTTCAGACTTTTTAAATTAATTTTGGTGATATTTGACTCACTTTTGACTTTGACTTTTGAAAATATGACAAGCGGATACTAAATAAGTCTTGTTATGTTGATACCCTGTAGTAAATTTAAACCAAGAGAAGTTAAGAGGGGCAAATTGATTTTTTTGGGTGCTATTTTCAATAAGAAAATTACCAAGTGATTTGAACAATATGCAATTAGTTATTGAAATGTTCCCGATGTTGGTCTGTATCTGCCGCTCGTGCAATCCGTCCAGACTCCGGTCTATTATCCAAAGGAAATGATTCCCAGTCCTAAATATACGTACTAAACTGAACTACTAGACCAAAGGTCGACACAACGATAGGATAGGATATCGACGCCCAAATCTCGAAAGATCCCTATTATACGAGAATCCTTGTCAATTGGACTTGTCTTATTTGCTAATAGTCGAAATCTTGATTATACCTATCATATGGACTAAAATACTATGTTTGGTCAAATAGCAGCTGTAGACATACTCTGTCAGAAAGGCCTGACGCTATGGTTTTCTGTCCTAATTTGAATCAATGACATTCCATATTATGGGTTGGTCAATGTTAAACATATCCGATGTTCCAGTGAAACGATGGCATGTATTTTCCAGCATCTGAATATTGTTATTTGTTTGGATTAGTTGGATTTTTGGGAGTTTTTTTCAATTATGTTGTGGCTAGGCTTCATAGTTCTGTATCTCCTTCTCTACTTGTCCTCTACATATGGAGGTGAGACAAAATCTGGGAGATGAAAAAATTGTAGCAAACCCTTTTCTTTATAGATTTTATCACATTCAGGATAGATTCTTCATCTTAGACGGCTGCTGACTTAATTTTCGTTTGTGGAAGGGTTAAGTTACTCTTCTTTTCACTCATTTATCGAATACAGACGTAAAACACGATATGGGAGATTAGAAAATTGAGAAAAACTATGTTTTACGGTGTTAATCCTATTTGAGATAGGTTTTTATTTTTGACGGCTGCTAAGTTAATTTCCGTTTGGTAATAACCACCCCAACTCTTCGTATTGTTTTATTCTGAGTTGGGGCACTTTCACTTCCAGTTCTACAATATCAATTGATTTTCTTTCCTTTTACCTTTCTTTCATCACTGAAAAAGCGTGAATTTTTTCTATAGTGGTTCAGGTTCACTAAGGTGCAGTGTTCAAACCCCAAACGCTGATCCATCATAGAAAATAATTATCCACCAAAATTGAAAAATCCCCACATTTTTCGCCCCTTGAATACCTAAATCCGAAAAGTAAGCCTTTAATATTGAGGTTGGTGTAATCGTCCCCCGCAGTTCAGTGGATGATATTTCTAAAGGGCAAATTTACAGACGCCCTTCTCAACACAGCCAGCAAAGCACCACCAAGCAGACACATCTGGATTCTGGAATAATCAATATTGCACACCCCCCGGCACCCCCGTCGCGCCGCCAACTCCTCCTTGATTTTCTTTGACGGTCCGTGTTTAGTATAAAGTCCAAATCGCCACATCCATAGTTATTTTAGTATTAGTTAGCAGTAGATAGGTGCGCCCTTTGACGCTGCGAGTGCGCCATTTTGGACGTTTCCAGAATTTGTACAGGATGTGTAACGAATTAAAAACATTAGTGAACGTATTTAGTTTGGATTATTCCAGAGATTGCTGATTTATTATTGGGTATGAGTTTTTTCAATTAATTGCTTACCTACTAATACAATAATAACTATTTATAAAAATACAGATTTTTACCAATAAGCACAGTAGCTCGAGTGTACACTCTGACTCTGATAAAACTTCAAATCAGCTGGGTTAGAACATGTGAAATAAAATTGGGAATGCGCAAAGGCAATGATTCTCCATGATTTGACTTTCATTAATGAAGTTGATTAATTATGCATTTGAATTTGTTTGGAGAGCTATTTTGAACTGTAAAATCCTTATTAAAAATTAAAAGTAATGAATAAATTACAGAAATTTCATCAAAATAGATGTTTTGTAACAATGAAAGTATAAATCAAAATGTAGGTTGCTACGTTTATACGCCACTAATAAAAATATTATCGTAGCGTTTCATGCTGCACTAGAAAAAAATCTGTACCTACTGCATAATACATAATCCATTCTCACAATCATTTTCTAGGTCTATTTATAGGCTACTAAGAATTCTTTTTAATTTTTTTGGCTGAGCTAATAATTAGTTTAATGTAGTACAATTTAAGGCAGAATCCCTTTCTGATTCTCAAATATTGAAACCATGTTTCTATTGCTTGATCTGTGGGCTAGTTTGAATATCCCTTATATCCTTTAGTGTGTTTCCATAGCAAAGTATGAGAAAGATCCATGAGGATATAAGCTTTTCTAATTTGTTGTTTTCTTTTTTGCCAGCGTTCTTCCTTGACAAAAGGCCCATCAGATACCTTAGCATCTATCACATTGGACTGGCTCATATTATGGACAATTAATCATCGTTTCCCTATTGATTTGCATTTTCAAAGTTGTATACCTACTGCATAACTAATTCCAACTTCGAAAGTTTGAAACTATGTATATGGGGACAAATTCCGCAATGAATTTATCTCTTGTTGTCTCAGTCGTCGAGTAGATGTTTAATTACGAAACTGATAATAACTATAATCTGCATATTATAACGATCAAATAATTGCAAATTGTTTGGAATTCTTTATAATTCCTCACAAAAATATTTGGTTAAGGATTTCTAGATACATTGATCTGCTCTTTTTCTCAGCTAAGCAGGTTCAGTGGAAGAAAATGTATACTTTTTTTTTTGGATGATGCTAGAAAGACAAACACAAATACACTCGGTATGCACTAGATTTACTGCAAAATAGATTCGGACAACATATTATAATATTATTTATACCTACAGTGAAAAATCTCCACGGACATCTCCTGCAAACCGACTGTTTCCATATATAACTTGTCAAACGTGCCTGGAGACGTAAAAATTGCGTTCTGACTCGGGTTTTTACGCAGATGGTAACATCGTCAGGTCGCTCCGTATATTTTTTCATTTACGAGTAAAACTAACCGGGTACACTAATAACCAGACGCAGACATTGTTTTTAGTTCAAAACAAATCCTCTTTTCAACTCGAAGCAAACCTATAATAACTGAACGGTATGTACAAGTATGATTGCCAACACTACATTGTCTGAATGCTGGTTGTGTTGAGTTCGAGAGTTTGAAATGGCCCCTAGTAAAAAACTTTTTAGTTTACAAGAAAAAATGTCATTAAAGATTCGGAAGAGGAACTTTTATGAGTTCGGAAGTTTGCAGTAAAACTTAATACCGGAAAAAACTCAGCAGAATAAATTGTTGAAAATAACGACATTATTCAATACCCAACAAAACAAAACAGAGTTTCTTGAAAACTATGGGTCTCTGTGTTTCGAGGAGTGGTTTTTCTTTTAAAAAAATTTAGTTTGTCTGTTTTATTCCATTATATTTTTCATTATTTTCACGCTCTCTATTAAGACGACTCGCATCTGATAAGCGAACAAAATCAGCGGAATCGTGAGTGTCGAGTTACGCGAGATTTTACTGTATGTATATGCATATTTTTCCTAGGTACATAATATATGTACAGACGAGATATAAATGGATCTAATTTATTTGGTAAATCTAATTAAGCCAACCAAAGTTGGTATAAATTGAAAAAATATGACTGCTTCTCAAGAACCAACTTGTTTTTAGAGATGAGAATGTTTCGCTTTTGATATAATAAATTAATTTTCTGTATTACTAGGTCTTCTTCTGACCTTCTTTTCAGTTCTTCTTATGTTGAATCCACAACAACAACAACTTATTTTTGTCCTAAAACCCACTGAGTTATTATTCGCAAATAATCTGGAATCAGTTCCACTGAATGAGCAAAGTCGATTTTGAAGTTTTGGCAAGTCAGTTTTTTTTCTTCTCTTCTGCACTTATTAAGGTAGATTGCAAGCGACCATAGATTGCATTGGATTCATGGGAATATAAATACATGCTCTATGAGGAAACCATTTGGTTTTTGGTGAGTCGAGAAAAGAGGTCACATTTTTAATGCGTGCAGTAATGAACAGATTTAAATTACCGTAGTATTTATGTAGCGAGTCCACTAACCACACCATATCTAATCAAGGACTTAGTAATGAAAAAACTAATCAGCAAGTATTTGCTCAATGCCTATGGACGAGAACTTGTACCCTACTTTAAGTGTTTAATAATAATCATAAGCATTTTGGGTTTGTATTTATTGATAGTATTTTTTTGTTTTAGGTAAGTGCATTCACTGAACTACCTTCAGCAACACCAAGTATCGAGGCGCAAGTAGCACCGGTAAGTTTGAATTGGGCACATTACTTACTTATAATTGGGAACCTTAGTATTCCATGCCACCTTTTACGCACATTGCTTCTAATAGTGGACACATGTTCAAGTATTTTTTTTAGAATCTCTCCTCACCAAATAAGGAAATATTTTCGATCCGCGCATTCTATCTCTTCTCCAATAATTGTATCATAAATACTGTGTGTTCAAGTATCCCTGAGCCAAGGCGGTACACACAATAGGGCCTCATGGCCTGTGGCAGGCAATGGCGATGTTCTCGACAAGGTAAAGCGGCCATTTTCTTCGTCTTGAACCTTAATTTATTGCACAAGTCGCTTATAGTTACACTACACGCCATATTATGGCCGCAGGGGTCGATAACCTACATTATTTAGCATTCTATTTTATGTATCTTGAGTGTGGTGTATAGTTGTATACCTGAGTGGTCGCGTTTCTCCAACAACCACACCACGGTTTTACTTATAGAAGAGCTTGTTTTATTAGCCATTCTAAAAATGTCGCGTCTCATTATGCTTCACTTCAAAACATAACAACAGCAATGAAGTTTAAAATTAAATCTCTCTCACTACTTTAGTTCTGTCTATCAATACCGTCCATACGCAAGCAAAAGTCTATTGTTATTTAGTTCCTATATGAGAGCTGCAAGTATGCACCACTTTTCACTGATGTTATTTTTGTCATTTATTTCTGCCAGATTCAATTTTTACTCGACGACAATTTCATTCTTGTCTTAAAACTTGACCTACTTTTGGTATATGTAGGTAAGTACCTAACTATACCGATTAATCATAATCGGTTATGTTTGAATAAAATAAGATTCTTATTATTCATTTAAAACAGTGCAATAAACAAATCCTGATGAGGAATGCATAATTGAAAAAGCTGGTGCAGAAAGCCACTAATGTTACACTCAAACCTTTTTCGAGCTACTTATATAATTAGGTTTGAATAATATGGGACACACCGTCTCATTTCTTGATATGATTGTCTAATGTCTAAAAAACGAAGGATGAATATCATTGAAATAATTTGATGCTTATAATTGCCCATTAGTTACTGCAATTTGGTCTGTTTTATTCCAATTATCCTTATCACGCTGCACATCTTACGCACCTGCAACACCCCGTAGACAAATGTGTCTGTAGGTACCGACACCTTTTTCCTCTCAGAAGCGTTTATTATTAAAGACTCATGAAAATTGTCGGCGGTATTATATTATTTGCAAATCTATGTCAAATAATTACGTTTGTAATGTCTAATTATAGAGAGAGAAAAAAAAACTAATTGCTAGTCGCCTTGAGCTAAGACTAGTGCGTTCACCATTAGTATCAGGGTATTTACTGGTTTTGCTGGTTATTATAGTGGCTGCCTTTGGGATTTCTAACATGGCTTATAGTTTAGGAATCACTTCAACTTATCTGTGATTTTTAGAGATTAGTAGTCAGCAACAGATATCGAAAAGGAAGTCCTTTTTCAGAATTCTAAGCACTAGATAGAAACGTTTTTTTTCGTCAAATGCCACAAATGATGATTTAAACCAGACATAAATATTTTGAAAAAAAAGCACTAACAATATTTCTAGCTTACTGCAATTCAGGCCACTTCTTTTCCAAGTTCTTATTAAGATATGGTATTGTAGATTGTAGCGATTGTAGATCGTATTTGCAGTCGTTACAGCTTGTCCCAGCACTGCTACCTTTCCAGTAATTTTGTGCGTGACTCTGCTTCTAGTTGGTGTCCAAGATTTGTAGGCTTCTCCCAGCTTCCTGTGTGGTAAAGTGTCCACCTCTTGGTGTGTTAGCCGTACTACTGCCTTTTGCAGAAGTGAACAGGGCATTCCCAGATTAAATGTTTCTGGTCTTTGTACGCAAGATCTGCAGTGGTCATTGTCTGATTTGCCTATTGTTTTAGGTGATATTTCACCAGGCAATGCCCAGTAAGCAGACCAACGACTGTTCTAATGTCAAGAAGTTCAGATCTCTTTGCTGAGATTAATATGAACCTTTTTGCATTTCTCAAACCCGAAATGGATCTCCAATGAGCTAACATTTAGTTCCGATCTGTTCATTTCTTCAGAGACGTGGCTTTTCTTAAAGTCCACAAAAGGCTCGGGCCTTGAAAAGGTGTTACAGCGCCTTGCTTTGCGAGACGTTCTGCTTCCTCGATGCCCTCTATGCCCTGGTGTCCTGGCATCCACATCAGGCTTACTTGGTTCCTCCCAGCGAGTTGCTTACGGATATTTCTACCCTCCCAAACTAGCTGCGAATTGCACTCGATGGCTCCCAGAGCATTTAGAGCCGCTTGACTGTCAGACATTCTCTTAAAAGGTCTCTTTTAAGGCACTCTTGGCCACAGGTGTTAATGACCATTACCTCAGAATTTGAAGTTTGATCCAGTTATTCCCAGGCCGACTTCTTCCGTTAGCTTGGAACCATCTTACGGTAGCTTTGCGTTCTTCCATGATCGGCGTTCTTTTACAATCACTTCATATGTCAAAGTCCAGTGATGTTATCATATGATCTGTTGGTTTACTTTTGGCACTCGAGCTTTATAGATACGGTATTGTGATATGGGGAGAGACTTATAATATCCCCTTAATACAACTCCATGTTACTCTAAACTATACTCTTAAGGCTATAAATAAAATAGAAAAACGATATTCCACAAGTCTTCTAGAGTATAGGTAGAGAACCTGAAGAAATATGCAATTGTAGCCACATGAAAAAAAAAAAAAAAAAATAGAGCTAATTGGAAACCAAATTCGAGTCCAAATTATTTATGAAAATATCCACCAGAGATTCATGAGGCATTTAGGTCCAAAATTCTATAACCTATAACTTGTTGCCTGAGAATGTTAGGATGATGAGAAAATTTGAAAAATTTAACCTAGCGTGTTAAAACTATATACCTATCTATGAACAGCACACAATATGAAGGAACCTTCTGCTATAACAAACCACTAAAATAATCTCTTCTGTATAGTTACAACTTTGGTAACAAAAAAATCGAAACCTACTCGAATGTATAAAGATTAATTTGCAGCAAGAAGATCCAGGGAGTCAAATTTTGTTAATCAAAAGATGCGTGTAGCTTAGAAGGCTTGTCTGTGAAAATGTAAAGCTGTAAAGCTTTGGATTACATAATTATTGACTTACCTGAGAAAGGTTATTTTCCTAATGACTTGAAAACTGCAGTTTCCGCTTGCCAAAGAAAAGTCTTGGCTAACTACAGCCCTATCTCATTCTTGCCAGCTGTATCAAAAATTGTTCAGGAAATTGTTAAATCTAGATTGTCATTATACTTTAAAACAATTAAGTTGCCATCGGCAGATTAATTTGGCTTCCAAGTGAAAAAAAAAAGAGTGCCCGAGGATGGAATTTTTCATTCCCTAAATGAATTTTATGCCGAACTTGACGAACATGAAGTATCCACAGTATTCTTTGACCTTGCAAAGGCGTGGATGTGTTGGAAAAGCTGAAGTTTTGTGACTTCCAGGATAGGGTTCTGCTAAGGTTTCAGTCATATCTTAAGAACAGATTCCAGGTAATATAAATTAAGGACATCACTGAAGGAGAGAGATCATTCCTCGCTTCGATATTCTGCAGAAGCAGAGCTCTGTGTTGACCTAAGTCATTTCCCTATGAGGGGTATTTCTACATTTTATGCTGCTATTTGATCATCCGGGAACGGAAAAAAAAATAAAAGGGGAGGTTGAGGAGGACCTGAAACATATCAAAACCTGGTTCGATGCGAACAAAACAACTCTAAATCTGCGAGTCAAAGACAGAATAATGTCAGCAAAGAAGCAGCGGTTGCGGTTACTACCTTATTTGAGTCTCATGCTAGATAGGTTACCTATTGTTTTTCTTTCTGGGGATTCGCCTTCGCAGCAACATTTCGAACATTGTTTTTTTCTCTACGGTTGGTAGCGAACATTTTTATCACTACTTTTTTGAAGACAGATCTCAAAATGTTAACGTGTTTCAGAATCTAATTTTCTTTGAGTCCTTCTCACTTACAATCGACTATGATAAACACCAAGATAAACAGTACAACTTTTGTAAAAGGCATTATTTAGTCTGCCCAAATTACTCAAAACTAAACTTAATCATTTTGATTTAAAGCTTTTTTTTTTAATAGCTAATACAAATAACTAAAACTTCAGAAAAGATTGGTTAATTTGTATTTAATTGTCATTTTCTCAATCGGGTTCCCAATGGAGTGCCTGAGTTGCTTAATCAAGTTTTGTTATATTGGATTTTATAATTTATTAATAATTATTCTAATTTAAATTTTTGTTCCTTTTGAAGAAAGTAAATCTAAAGGCTTTAGATATGATTGATCTTTCCTATGTATTGCTTTTGAAATAGGTGTTACACCTGAAGGGAAGGTCCTGTCCAGTGAGAGCAGATTTATCCCTTTTAATAGCAGTTAAATTTTTCTTTGTTGCAGCATTTTTTTTCTTTGGAACCCTTGGGGATGTAAAAAGTTTTTATTCAGAATCCCCAGATGATGAACCAGAACCAAAAATTTTAAAAATATCTTGAAACTATCCTAAAATCCTATGATCATGAGAAGCATTTAAAAATGCATTTTAGAATGAACAGACACCCTAAATATGCTAGTTGGTAATGTAAATAGTATTGTTATTTATGCGCTGAAAAATGTATAATGGCTGTTGTTTTTTAGGCCGACTTGAAAACTCAAGATACAAAGCCAATCATGAATGTGGTGAATGACCCATCAGCAGTAAAAAGTCATTGATGCTGTCAGTATGGAAGTAATGAATCTTTTAGAAGTTTTTCGATCAACATAAGTTTTTCTCATTGAGTTCTAATTCGAAGTTAAGATTTTTATTGGAGCATAAAACAAGAGTACATTTTATGGCCTAATGGAGGAAAGAAAAAAATTATCTGCGATAATTTGAAAAAAAAAACCAGATTAAAAACTCAGAATTGGTGCCATTGATGAATCCAATGTAAAAATAA